AGTAATTTTATTTATGGATTGATTTTCAACATTATAAAATCTATAAGAATTAACTAATCGGATTTGTGGTAAAAAAATTAATTTGTTGAACAGTGTCAATTTAATATATTAATATTATCTTCGTATAAAAAATGCCTATTGCATATAAACCTACAGAGGCATCATTACTGAAAAATATTCATTAAATATAATAATTAATTTACATCTTATAAAACTTGCCAAGTTGCATTTAATGTATATTTTTTAGTAATAATCCTCTTTATGAAATGCAGTCTTTTATATAAAGAATTATATAATGCTATTAATATAATATAATGCTATTAATGCCAGTTTACTAAATTATTATTAATGAATTGTTAACATCAGTTTATTTATGAATTAACTGTTATTAATGTTATTAATGAATTATATTTATTCTAAAATAAATATAAGATTCATCGATTATTGTCATTATTTAAATTTGCAGTGAATTATATTTATTGGTCAATTTATGATTTAAATTTGCAAAAGTATGTTTATTTCTGACTTTCATTCTCTGTAAAAATAATTCAAATAATCAAATTATATTACACAATGATTATAATCGACTAGGATCGAATTTTGCTGATAAAAAAGAAGATGTACTTCACGTTTTCACGATAAAATTCGTTTTTATAACCTAATAGTATATGTCACTTCGGCTTCTATTTTAATCTATTTCTATGTTGTTATATTTGCATCACAATTTGATATGCTACAAATTTGATTGCAAAAGAAGGTATACCATTGACTGTGTGCCGAAGTCTACGCAAGTGACCTTGCGCGCCTGCTCGAATGGCAACCCATCATACTAACCTGTATGGTGATGCAACATCCTGTACATATATTCTATTTTTTTTTTAAATTGATAATTATACCACTTGATAGAATAATGTTTCAGCTTTAAGAATCGATTTTATTAATTACGATGATTTTTAATGAAGTTGTGAGTAATCAAAATCAGAATGTCCTTTTATTTAATCCGCGTGTAACTTGATAACAAAAAGTCGTAGGAATATTTTTTTTAAATTTTTAGGAACTTTTAGGAAAAACTTTAACCTTTCACATCATATAGTCGAAAATTTCGTAACAAATATTCTGTATATAATTTTGAGCTATCAACATTCCGCAGAACTTCTCTCCAATATAACCTCAATCCAATATATTTCGAAGTGTTCCAATCTTCTTGTTCGATTTCAGTATCCTTTTTAATTTTCGCAACGAAGTGTTTTAATCCGAACATGGATCTGAAATAAATCGTAATAATCGATTTGACGATTTAGCAACTTAATGATTCGCGACGAGGAGAAAAAGAGGACTCGAATTTTCAGAAATCAAACATGTTGCCAAATTTCGACATTGAATTTCCCATAGAAATAATGGTCGTATCAAGCTAAAATTTGGCATGAAAGCAACTAAATTTATGTAAATTCAAAAGATCAAATTTTCTAAAAATAAATAAGACTACGGAGTTATTATTGGGAGTACAAATAAGTTTCCGCCGTTGCAAAAGACAACGCCACTAATAAACTATAGTTAAAATTGTTTGATGTAAAACGACATATCGTAAGATTGGACATCCGGCAACACCATAACCTTGAAATATTAGCGATTTTATATCAGCATCATATATTTTTTTTGTACGAAAATGTCGAGTTTTGAGCCGAATAAGCGTCATTTGCGGGAACTTTTGATTTACTTCTTTAATTTGAAGAAATCTGCAACTGAGGCTCATAGATTGCTTGTAGAAGCATATAGTGATGCTACCTTAAGTGAGAGAAGTTGTCGTGAGTAGTTTCAAAAGTTTAAGAACGGTGAATTTGACGTCGAAGACAAAGAACGTAGCAGAAGGCCGAAAGTGTACGAAGACGCGGAATTGGAAGCATTATTGGATGAAGATTCGTGCCAAACGCAAAAAGAACTTGCACTTACATTAAGAGTGACTCAACAAGCAATTTCATATCGTTTGAAATCATTGGGAATGATTCAAAAGCAAGGGAATTGAGTTTCATATGAACTGAAGCCGAGAAACGTTGAATGCCGATTTTTCACATGTAAAATGCTGCTTGCCAGGCATAAACGAAATTAATTGATGCTCGTTTCAAGCGACTACAAAGATTGAAACATCTCAAGTGAATTATTTCATAATGATTTTTATATAGAATAACAATGCGATGAAAGCCTCGGCTCGGGAATAAATTTCTCGTCTCCGGACAAAATTATTTTTTCCAAGAATTTCATTATTTCGGCATTGGCACGTGCCTCGCGAGTGATCTATTTGGTTAGCTCACGCTAGCCAACGCACGCGTCACGTCCGTATGGAGTGATAGAAAGTAATATGATTATCCAAATGTTATTCCAATAAATTTTGACATGGAATATTTACGCAAAATGTTCAAATTAATGAGTATTTTATACAGATAATGTGAAACCAAATAGAAAAAGGAAATACAGCGTAGGAAAAAAAAATTTTATTTATATACATGGAAAGACGTAACTGTCCTGGAATATGCTCAAAATTATTCCATTTTTTTCTAGAAAACACAATAAATATAGGGAATAATTGAATAATTCCGATCGGAATCCATTCTGATCTGTTTCATAATAAGTATTCAGTATCTATAGAATAAGTTATTCAGTTTCTGCTATCAAGACTTTATTTGGTTTTTGTTACAATCTGCTGGTATATATAAAGTGTCCCAAAAAAGTTCGAAATATTGAATAATCTTGGAAAATAAATTTTACAGAAAAATGTTTTAAACAAATGTTGTAAGGTTCAAAAAGACATATTTATTAAGTGTACAACTTTGCTTCCGCCGTTTTCCTACAAATGGTTTTAGCGGTAAGTGATGATCGAAATAAATAGATCATAGACGTCATATAATAAACTTGGACATCTGTCAACATAACCCCATAGAAACATTAATCGATTTGTGTCTGCATCATAAAATTATTCTCGATTGAAAATGTCAGTTTACGAGCCAAATTCTCGTCATTTGCGGAAGGTTTTAATTTTTTGCTTCAATATGAAGAAATCTGCGGCTGAGGCTCATCGAATGCTCTCAAATACTTATGGTGAGGCCACTATTGCCGTGAAAGTGAAAGAACGTGAGTGGTTTCAACGCTTCAAGAACGGTGATTTTGATGTCCAAGGTCATGCTCTGTATTTGGTGGGACCAGCTCGGCGTAATGTATTATGAACTGTTAAAACCGACTGAAACAATCACAGGCGATCGGTATCAAACGCAATTGATGCGTTTGAGCCGAGCATTGAAAGACAAACGGCCGCAATACAACGAGAGACACGATAAAGTGATTTTGCAGCATGACAATGACCCCATGTTGCGAAAGTGGTCAAGACATACTTGGAAACGTTGAAATGGGAAATCCTACCCCACCCGCCGTATTCTCCAGACGTTGCTCCCTCTGACTATCACTTGTTTCGATCAATCGCACACGGCCTGGCTGACCAGCACTTCCGGTCTTATGAAGAAGTAAAAAATTGGATCGACTCGTGGATAACCTCAAAAGATGACCAATTTTTTCGACGCGGGATTCGTACGTTACCCGAAAGATGGGAGAAAGTAATGGCCAGCGATGGACAATACTTTGAATCATAAATGTATAACCAGTTTTTTACAATAAAGCCTCGAATTTCGGAAAAAAACGGCGGAAGCAAAGTTGTACACCTAATATTAACCTTATCAATTTGATATTGGATGGCATCGCCAAAGTCAGATCACATTGATTTTTTTAAACGAAACATCCTACTTTTGATTCCAGAATGTAATAACTGGTATCAAGAGCTTTTCAAAACACCACAAAAAAGTTATTTTTCATAAAGTTACTTTTCGAATTATAAGGCTCGAAAGTTACAGTACTGCTAGCATTAGCATTAGAGATTTTTGATCGATGATTAAAACCTCTTGAATGTTGTTCAATATTATGTCCTGGATGAATATTATTAAGAACAAGATTATCGAAAATTGTTTCTCTTATTTTCATTTTTATATAAAAATGTATTTTCAATCCAGGACATCCTAAACAACATTCAAGATCATTTTAATGTTCGTCAGTTGGACACCTTGCATAATGCTAATACCAGCGGTACTGTAACTTTCAAACCTTATAACTATAAAGTGAAAAATAATTATTGTATTGTTTTAAAAAGCTCTACCAGATTATTAGATTCTGAAATCAAAAATAGGGTGTTCCGTTTTAAAAAATCAATATGACCTTGATCTGATCTTGGGGATGCTACCTAAAGTCAAATTGATAAGATCAATAAAAAGACCTTTTTAAATCCTACAACTTTTGTCTAAAACATTTCTGTAAAACTTTTTTTTCCGAGATATTCAATTTCAACCTTTTTTGGAACACACTCTGTATGTCTTGCAGGTTTTGTCATATTTCTGACAGCAATTTGCTGACAATGTTGGATAATACAAACTTTGTGTACAATTTATTACCTTTTTGCAATCAAAAATTGGTAATTGGATCTGCTCAAAATCTGTCTTTGCAGACTTTGTTATCAGGATAGGTATATTCACGAAATCAACTATGAATTCGAAATAAACCACAACGAGGAAAAGAGGTAATAGCGATTCAAAATTCAGTTTTATATAATTAAATTTTAAGAGCAGTATATTCATAATCCGTTCTTATTTTAAGACCGTCTTAAGTAATGCCTCAAGATACTAATACGATTATTTGATTGATTCACTTTCTTAAGACTGTATTTAAGACGGTCTTAAGTATAAGATTCGATTATGAATACCGTACTATATATTTTTGCATATCTCTTATAGGAAATTGATATTCCATATCTGATATTCAATATCTGTAAATTCATTGGAATAAAGAAAATATTTTCTGCAGAATTTATGTTATTCTGAGAAACATTACTGTATTTAATTTATGTATCAGAAAATATTAGCAAATCTTCCAATTAATTTCATTGTTTGCCTGATGTCATTTCGCAGATACTCGGTACCTTGCGACAAATCGCTCGACAGGCTCAAATGTCGTTGTGGAACGCCACCCAGGATCAGTGCGAGTCCCGCGGACCATGGTGACAGCCTAGCAACAAGAGAACGGCCACAGGAAGCCGAAATGGATCTTACTTTGAAAGCTCATCATCCTGCATCCGTTAGGCATTCGTTATTTCATCATTTATCAAGCAATCACCAGCAGCAAGATATTGTGCAAACCATAGACGAGCCTTTGGATGTCACTCTCAACAGCAGCAAGAACAACTAAAGGCCGTTCTTTATGATTACTCGCAAAATTTGACTCTTTAAAATCTCTGCAGACGTACAACTCTACAGCATAGAAAAGCAAAACACGCTCACAAATACACACATTTTGTATTTACATGTTTTGAAAATCATTTAAAAAATTTTTGTCCTTTCATCTCTGAATTAAAATTTTTTAAATTTTCTCATAGAAATATTAATTTAATTACATAATAATTTTATTTTATTTTATTATATGCGCGTAAATTCATACATTTAAGAGTCATATCCTTTTCGAACAGTCATCAGTCAGAAATTAACGATCAATGAATAATCATTGACCGTTAATCAATTCCTAATCGTTACAGAAGGATATTGACATCTAATGTGACATTAAAAGAAAGATACTGGGAAGAAAGTTGATTACATTGCAATGTGAATGACGCTTTCATCGTTACATATTTTATTGTTATATTTATAAAATTATTGTATTTATTGAGAGTGTGTAGTAATTTAGCAGCGTACCACGGAAAAATATTTAAATTAAATATTTAAATATTTAAAATGCTGTCATCTTTCTACGTTTCTAACTTTGAAATTCCTTGCACTGATTCCACGCTGTAGGCTGTAATGATTGAGAATGAAGTATTTTTAAAGCAATATTTTATAATAACAATTAGGCACTAAAATATCTTTTGAAATATGCGATCTGAAAAAGTGCGCATAATCAAAGATTCTCAAATAAAAGAGAGCAATAAGTATACGCTATATTTATTTTTTTTTGTTATTGAGATAGTTGTTAATATTTATTTTTTTGACAATTTCTGTGTCACAATGTGTTTCCTTCGAACATTTTATTAATAGTATTAATAGTAAAGGATGCAATCCGGATATCCGGCATTCGGAATTATCTGGCACTTTTTATTATTCGGTCGGATTGCCGGATATCATTAATATCCAGCAATATCCGGGTGAAATTTTAAATTGAAAGTGCGTTATTGATGCAGAATTCTATTCTTTTAGCTGAATTTCTTACACAGTTTATGATTTTGCATTTTAGTAATAGTTTTAGTAATAGTGATTTATATTAAAGCTCGGAACCCAAGTACCCGAATATTCATCCGCCCGTTACGGATCTGGACAGGTTCCGCGGATACGTGATACTTCGGGTATCTGCAAATCTGTGCGCAATATGGGTGCCCAAGGAATTGTGAGTGAAATGAGTACCCGTATCGATACGAGTATCCGCTATTAGTATAATTATTATAGAATTTGATCTCAGAAAAATTCATCAGGATAAATTTTTGAACCTTTATTTTTGCATAAGATTGAAGGAGAAAAATGGGTACCATTGTAATGGCCACTAAGAAAAATAATTAAACAAATAGGATACAAATTTCGGTTTTTTGCAAATATCTCTATAAATCAATTTTACCAAGAAAATATAAGAGAAAAAAATTAAAGAGCAGAAAATTTTATACAGAAAAGGTTCTATAAGTTTTTGTTGTAGCAATATTTTCCACGTAAGAAATTATGAAATATGTACTTTGCGCAGTGAAGTTGTGAAGCGTGCCGATAAGACGCAAAATGGAGCATCGCATGCGCGACAAAAAATATCATAACTTTTGGATTATCGTATAACTTTTTGAATTATCGTATAGAAATTGGCCAAAACGTGTTGAAAAGCTGAAAGCTTTTTTTCTTTAGTTTTTTAATGGAATTTGTTTCAAAAAACAAAGAAAAAAGAGGGCTACGAGCCAAAAATTATTAAATAAAAACAAAACAAGATAAAGTAGAATGTACAAAAAAACAATAAAGGAAACGAAAACGTTTTAAGTAAAAATTTTAATAAAGAATGCTAGCAATAGACGTTTCGATCGCGATCGAATCATTCTCAATATTAAAAACATAATAAATAATGGTGGGAAAATAAACAAAAACATAATACAATAAATATTTCGGGCAAATGCTGATAAAAAAATCATCGTAATGTTCACAGTTACAATGTATAATGGAAAGGATACGAATGATAGCTACAGTCAAATTATATACTTATAGTGTCAATTTGATAAAAAGAATGAGTATCCTTCGATTACAAGTGAACGGAGAATGCAAATAAGTATAATCCTGTAGAAAATTATACAAGTGAAAATATAGCGCAAGATTGAAACAATATAACTGGATATAAATTATAACTAAATTATATAACTAAATATAACTAAATTATAGCGCTAGAACACGAGATAAACCAAAGACTAGCATACAAACAATGTAATATGTGAGATAATACTTAGCAAAATTAATGAAGGTTAAGATTGCAAAAATTTTTTTATTTCTATATTAACTGGAAAGTTTTTTATTTTAGATATAGCAACAGCTAAAATAAATATGTATGATATCTTTAATATAACATACCTTAAGTCAAAAGTAGAAGAGTTCAAAAGTAAAAAGTAAGTCATAAGTAAAAAAAGTTTCGAATACAAATAGTGCGTTAAACTTAGAGACCATGCGAAAAGAAATAAAAATATCTTGTCTCCTCCGATGGTCAAGACAAAATGGAATCACAGAAATGACATTCAAAGGAAGGAAGGTAAGAGTTAGTTGGAAAGTGGTAGGAGAAAGACAATAAGAGAGGAAATGTGGAACCAGGAATAATAAAGGAAGGAATAATAAAGAAGGAATTAAGAAGGAGAAAGAGATTCAATAATAGATAGATAGGATTCAGGCAAAGAGTCTAAGTCGTTTTATATATTTAAGCCTTGTTTTTGTCTTTTTATATGTATCATTTCGGATATCAATCTCTTATTATATGAAGATTCCAATATCTTCACTTCATTCTGAAATTGTGATTGAGATTTGTACATGGTCAGAAATGACCGATGGAGAACTGTTTTTTTATTGATATCCCAAATATGTTCACGTATCCTCGTATTCAATTTTTTTTTACCAACATAGCTAGCCTCGCAATCATTACATGAGATCTTATAGACTACATTTTGATTAGAAAACAATTCTAACTTGTCCTTTCTCTCTTGATAAAACTTTTCAAAATGTTGGTGATGGAAAATGCTAATTTACAGTGAAACATGTTGGATATAGGTGAGAAACTTTCGGAGATAGATTTAACATAAGGAACTGTAAAAAATTTTTTTTTTATTTGTGGATTGTATGTTATATGTTTATCTATGTGAAATTTTAATCGGTTTTCAATTGTGGAAAAAATAAAAGGAAGAGGATAATCATTAAGAAAAATATGAATAGCTTCAATTAGAATTGTTATGTTGAAACCGAGGATGTGATAACAGAAATATTTTATCAACGAAACTGATAATTATGCCTCTTTTATGACAAAGAGGATGATTGGAATGGAAATTCAGGAACCTTCCCGAAAATGTAGTTTTGTGATATGTATCGAAAATAATTCTTTTATTGTCAATAATCAAAGTGGTGTCAGAAAAATTCAATCTATTGTCATTGCCAACCTCCATGGTAATCTTGTATGTATAAAGAATTAAAAATAATAAGAGTGTCGCCAATGTATTCAGATGGAAGTGCGAGAACGATGTCATCGACATATCTGTAGTAAAATAATGGATGTACTTGTAAATTCGAGATGGCAATTTCTTCCAAATCCTGCATTACCATATCAACAATGATAGAAGATAATGAAGAACTCATTGAAGTATCAAAAACTTGTTTATAAAACTTATTGTTAAAGGTAAAAAAAGTAGAATTCAAAAACAAATTTTACAGCCGTAACAATTCCTCTTTTGAAATATTAGCTTTGTGGATATATGAACCCATTTCTTCTCAATACTATTCAATGCCAAATCTACAGAAACATTAGTAAAGAGAGACACAACGTCCAATGAAGCTAATACATAATTAGAGTCAAAAGCTTTGCCATTTAACTCTACAAGATAGAAGCTGTCTTTAATATAGCTAGGAGCTTGTGATATACTCTTAATAATTATGTTATGTAAAAAAAGAAGGGACTGTTTATAGATGATATAATGATTCTCAATGAGTTACCAGCTTTATGAATTTTGATCAATTCATGCGCTCTAGGATATTACTATCCGAAGTCATTAATCTATTATATGTCAATTCATCGATGAAACTACAGACCTTCCATCTCATAGAAAGCACACCTGTAAGTCCTATGTCAACTTTTTCGTAGAATCCCTGTTAATAAAAGAATAGATGTCAACATCCGAAAAAATCTTCTCCATCTTTAATATATAAATCTTTATCAAGCAGTGACATTATCTTTGTCTGCATTGGTAATAAATAAATTAGGATAGTCATTGATAAATAATAGTCTTAATGAGATGCAGCCATTCTGAAATTATTTTGTCATTGAAACTAGGAGAAAGAAAATTGTTATAAAATCTATTGAGGAATGGAATTATTTCTAACAAAATTGACAATATTCTTTGGACGACCAGAAATACCGTTTTCTATATATTTGTTAAATTCAACTAGGATATTTTTTTATTATCTTAATTGATGGGAAGACTAACTTTTTCACCTAGTTGTACAACAAGTACTGAACCTCAAGAGGAATATCGATACTACTTAAATTGACAAATCAATTGTAACATCTTCAAAGGAGAAACTTCACTAATTACTTCAATTTCACTAAATTCTTTTGGATGTAGACTCTTTCAATGTCAAAATAGCCAACCCTAAGTTGTGTGAGTCCTCACAAATAGTGAATAAATTCTTATTATTCAAATTGTTACAAAGATCATTTATACAAATAGTACAGACATATGAGATCGGTCTGATTCTTGAACAAGAAAAACTAGATTTTTTATTCACTAATCAATCAATCTTCTTATGTATTTTATTCATCTGTTTAAGAAGATAAGAACCACTAATATGAAAATATATGAAAAACTCATCACCTATTGAAGCTGGCAAAATAGGGATTGTATTAGAGATATTAAAAATATGAACTCTAGTTATATGCAAATGGGAATAAGCATCTTTCAATTCTAGTCGCATAATTATCTTCACAAA